AGCTCGTTTAGAATTGAAATATATTGCTGTTAGACTTACACTTGATTCGACAATTAAATAGACAAATTTTTATCTATTTTACTTTTCTTTGAATAGTTATATACTTTTGCAAAAACAAAAAACAAAAAATAAATCTATGCATGAAGCTTACGTTAGATTATTTATGGTATTTAGATTTTCTAATCTTGAAATTTCTTTATATGACATATTTCTTTGGTTTTCTACTTGGATATATTCAACTAATATAGAACGATTTATATATGTATGATTGGTACATTTGAACATAATATAGTTGTCAAAAATCGTCACAGACTTATTTTTATTAAATTTTATTCTTAAAAAGTATTTTTGATAGAATTCATAAAAGAAATATATGTTCTCGCGTAGTTACAATAATAGTATCATTCAAACGATCTGATTACTAAATGAATCTTTATTAAACATATTACTTTAATCGATGAAGAGTCCGAACTAAATAAAGGAGCAACAATTTACTATCCTTCCGATATCTGTCGCTGTCAAAATATATTTTGATTTAATTTTGTTATGTTTTTTCTTTTTTCTATAATTTAGAAGAAAAAAAAATTATTTTACTAATTATATTGGAATATTTAACTGAAAAATAAAGTGTAACTTAGTTTGTTGATAAAAGTTTTATTTTAATTATTTTGGTAACTCTTTGATCTGCTAACATCGATGAAGAGCTAACTGTTTCCTGTGTCAATGTAATGCCTCTTTGAACATCAAAAGTCCATTTTCCAGTTAAACTTGCATCAAAATACATAACAGGTTCGTCTTCAAATTGAATGAGAGTTATTTGATTTTCATCAATATAAATTAGTTTATAATGAATTTCTCCTAATGAATTAATAATTGGTATAGTCCAAGTATGTCCTATTTGACTATCATGTTGAGGAAAAGTTGGTTCATTTGGTGGTGGAATTAAAATTCTTCCATTTAATGATGATAATTTAGCAGGACGAATTATTGATTGATCTTCAAATATTCTATAAGTTGTTTCGAATAATTGTTCATATTTATATTGATTAAATGGAAACATTCGAATAGAATTTATTTTTCTTTGAATATTATTAATAGATTCAATTTTAATTATTTCTTCTGTATAATTCATTTCAATATATTCAATTGTTTCATCAAGATGTTTTTCAACATCATGATGTTCGATTATTTGAATTTCGGAATATGTTAAACGTTTTTCCGCAGAAAACTTATATTCCAACCGAATTGTTTCGCATTTTTCCCATGATAATATTTGAAAAAATAAAATGACGAGTAAAACGAACATTTTATTTTTTTCGTTTTTCTTTCTCTATATTTATAATGTCAACGAAATAAATACAATATTTTTAATCCAATTTGTTTTTTTTTCATAAACAATAACAACAAAAAATGAATGTTTATGTCAGAACAAAACTATAAATGCATCATCAAATATTCTTGCTCATAAAGTTAAAAATGAAACACAATCAATTAAGGAAAAATTTTCATTCTTTTAAAAAAAAAGCAAGAAAAATTATGGATGTTTCGATTTTCGAAGGTATTCAAAAGGAAAATTTAATCGTCTAATAAATATCCTTTTTTTTAAATAGAAATATCAATCTACTACATTGTCTGATTTGATTAACCACAGATATTTATATGAAATGCTTGACTATAGAAAAAAATATTCGTCAACATATTTGCATATATATTATTTATGAAAACTATCATTATTTTGTCAAAAGATCTATCTGTTGTTATTGTTCTTAAGTTAATATCGATAGATAGATCAGTATTTTTATTTATTTGTCACTATCAACTGATGAAAAAATTTCTCAACGAAAACCATTATTAGTCATGATATATCATTTTATGATTTTTAACGATTTAGTTGCAATGTGGAAATAAGAAGACTGTTTAGTTCGTTTACAAATGTCATTTCTTATTGCATCTGGAGAAAAGCCGAATTTTTCGCATTGTTTATAAAGCTAAGAAATAGTCTGATTTCTCTGGTTCTATTGAAATCGTCACGATCGTATTTTTCCACTAGATAGTCTTAGATGCTTCTCGAAAAGAAAATAAATAATCCGAATTCTATGTTTTAGTAGAACTGGTTGAATTCTTATTTTGCTTTTCTGTGTATTTATTTGATTTTTAAATATTCTTGCTTATAATAATTCGATTAATTGTCTTTATAATGATTAGCTCTGTTATGCGATAAGATTTTCTCATCTATTTTGACATCGTATTAACATTGAAATAGTATGTGAATATTGCAAAAGTCCTTTCCATTTCGAATAATTAATGCACGAAAAATTTCTACAGCTAAAAATGAGTATTATTTATTTATAGTATATCAGTCAAACTGAATTTGACGAGTAAATAGGATTTCATTTTTGATATTAATGCTAATTAATTGTTTATAATTAGCCAAAAGAAAAACAAATTTAATTTTTTTTTATTCAATAGATTAAATTTTGATCTATAATCCGTAATAAGGGTGTACATAGTAATGAATCTATGATTAGATATACATTACGTTAAGAAGAAAAAAAAAATTCTTAAAATAAAAAAAAATAAAAAAGAAGATGATTTTCATAATCGAGTAATATTCAAATTTAGATAAAAAAGACGAAAAAACTTGTAATGATTAAATATAATAAATAATTATTGTTTTCAACAAGATTCTCTTCTTGTAAGTTCAATATTTAATCCACCTTCTGATGCATTAACAACATCATCATCAGCATAACATTATTGTAATGTTAAACATTCATGTTTACCTAAAACAAAATCCAAATTATTATACATAAAATTAGTCATATCAGCTTGAGCAGATTGTCCAAATTCATCGGACTCTTCTCTTATTGTTAGTTGTTGGGCTAAATTTGAAAATCCAGATTTTAACGGTGAATGTAAATCAAAATTATTCTCCGATGAATCTTTATTTAATATATATTTATAAACTAACTTGGCAACATTATCTGTATATAATTCAATACATACTAATGTTGCTTTATTTGTATTTTTTTTATTTCGATTTTAATTAAAGTTTTTTGATAGTGATAAAAGTTCATTTTTATCTGAACGTCTTTTATCAATCATAGTAAACCAAGCTATATCAAAATCAGTCATCTGTAATGATAATGCTCTATTACGCATTAAATCTCGACATGATTTACTACAAATATACACTTCATGAAATTCATCATAATTAATAATTTTTAAACCTTCATATACACTTAAATAATTAAAAAAATGTGTTTTTCAACTATGTGCAGATACTCGTTCGACAGTTATAGCACGATTGTCATGTAATTTTGGATTTTCACCTCTTAAATTTGTAACTGTTATAAATTGATTAATTATTCCATGACCACCACGTTTTGATAGACGTGAACTTAAATTTCCTAAAATAACTGATATCCATTGTGCTTTTGTAAATAATTGATTAAAAGAATCATTGGCTGAATGTTTATTTGTTGAATCATCTAAATCTTCCATATAATCAAAATAAGCTTGACAAATTATTTGACAAACTTTATGAAATTTTACAATATTTTTTCTTTCATCATAACCTTTAGATGCTCGACGTGGTCAAACATAATTTTCACCATTTGGTTTCAATTCTGTTTGGTTACGTGCATGAAAATTTTGTGCAACTAATGATTGTAATGTATAGTAAAGCAATTGATGATGAATATAATAATATTTGTATTTGATGTCTTGGAATTGTTAATAATAATGGACTAAGAGTTTTAGCATGATAAAAACATGCTGTTCGACCATTATTATGAGCTGCTTCTGTAACACGTCCACCATCACGTCACTTTGTAATGCAGCTCCGCCGTCACTAAAACGATTTATTATTAAATTTTTTAATTCGGAATATTTCGATTTAAATTGATCAAGCATTGAATATACTTTTCCTAAAACTTATTCTTGTGATGATTCAGCTCCACGACCATTACGTCTGACAGTATCACTTTTAGCTATGATTACAATTAATTTTTCACGATAAAATAAATGTTTTCTATAAATTGGATCATCAATTAATTCTGACATTAAATTAGGTAATTCTTCTAAATCTTTAACTGATTCACTTAATGTAACGATATCAATAATTGTTTCTTTTTCAGCTACACTATTTCCAGATGCTTTTAATAATAATAATTGTAGTTAATACATTAACAATTGAATTTGTTTCAGCTATTATTAATTTATTAAATATATTAAGATCATATTTAATTAAATTTAATCTACCAAATATACATACAGCTATTTTACTACTTTTATCCAATAAATCATCATCAGTTAACATTAATTTTTCAATAAAATCATCATTATTTAATTATTCAATTATACATTCCTGTTTATCTAATAATGATAATGTTAAAAAGTTTTCAATTAAATTGTTCACTTTTGCTAAATGATCAACTGTTTCCATTAGTGATTGTGTAAGACTTGTTTTCTAATCACTCGGTTATCGTACTCTGCTTTATTTAAAAAACACTCCACCATATATACCATCATAAAACCCGAAGAGAGATAGTTAGTACTAGAGAGAAAGAGAGAGTTAGTACTAGAGAGAAAGAAAGAGAGTGAATAAGAGCATGAACACAGAA